CTGCTGAAGCTAATGTCTTACAAGATATGGATCTGTTGGTTCCTTGCATTACTGCTGAATAGAATAAAGGCAGGATATAATGAAGGCAAGACAGTGAGTATAATAAAGGTACCAATAAGAGCACTGAATAGAACTGGAGCTTATGTTGAGCAATTCCTGAGATGCTGAGCACTCTCAGCTCTCATAGAACTCATCTGAAGAGATTCTTAGCATGTTGCAAACCAGAGCCATTATGCCTCAGGGAGTCAGACTTCTCCCAGAATTCCCAACGTGCTCAAGGGGCACACCCCCTGCACAATCTCTTTGGAAACTGGAAGGTTTGGAAAGAAAGTGGAGACATCTCCTCCACCTTCTTTTTGTCCATTTTGGGATGTTTTGTGCACCTACGGGTGATGTCTCTTCAATCTGTGTTCCTACGTGCTATTTTGGCCCACCCCAGAGTCAGGTGCAAAGAAAAGAAAGTTTGAGGCTTCCTTCTCTCATACACTTATGCAATGGTCATTGAGTCTGGCCCCAGCTGAGTTCCAAACCACCCTTCCTTGTCCTGCCAGAAGAGTTCTAGCCATGGCCCACAGGATTTCTGTTTCAGGGGATGTGCTGTGCAGCCTCTTTGCTTCCAGTTGGTAGCACCAGGATGGAAATGATCCATGGCAAGAAAAAGGATAGTGTCAAAGCACAGCAGTTAATAGGATCATAAGGGCTTTGTTTCTTATCCTAGATACTTCTGGTATTTTTATAACCCTAAAAATAAAGATTTTTATCAAAATATAGTATGATCTTGTTTATGGCTATTCAGTTTATTTTTTCCTAATTGCACATATGGTGTAGATAGGTCTGGTCAATGTCTGGCCCAGAAGACAGCTATTTGGTTTTATTCTGCTGTATGAAATGGATATATATTTTCAGATGAACTCGTCGTTTGTTAAAGTTCAAATTCTTTACAATAATATTCATTATGTGCCTTTAGTCTACTGACAGTAAAGAGAAATCTCTCAATTGCATTTGAAGTGATCAGTTACCATTTTAATTTGTTCTCCTGGTGTAAGTTGTAATGTATTTGGTATCATCCCTGTAAAGCTTGTCTTCTCTCTTTAAAATGATCTCTTTGGTATCCAGCAAAGGGGGTTGTTGCAATAAGAATTAAGGTGTGTCTCTAAGCTTGTACCTGGAAGCAATAATGATGTTGTTCAGTATTTCAGGTGAGACCAGCCCAGGATTTTTGGGTGGGGAAACAGACTCTGTTATACGCTATCTTCAGTGCTTCCTTCAGAGGAAAGCAGAACCTCTCCCAAGCTAAGGTGAAGAACATCTAGCCAGTGTCTTTTTTATACTGGCACCAGACAGAAGGAGGGAAAGGGAACCGGAGTGTAACAACAACTCATTTGGACTTGTATCTAAGAATAATCAGATTCAATGGATTGGCTCCCTTATAGAACAACTGCATTTCTATTCATTTTAATGGTAAGTAGAATTTTAAAACAATATTTGTAAGCTTTCTGTTAATTTCAAAGTCTTTTTCTGCAGAGGATTACATTTTCTGCTGTCTCCACTTTAACTACATTGAAACTCATATTAATCAAGGCAGTATTAAACATTGCGCATTAGACATTAACCATCTTTTAAACCAACAACCCTGTTTTTAATTTTAATGTTAATTTCTGAGTATAATTCTATACATTGGACAGCTTTGATTGTTAATACAAGACATGTTTATAGTCCTAAATATGTCTTAAGAGGCTTTTTCATTATTATAATTATTTGTCTTTGTTCAATTTAAGGGGGAAAATCCAGAATTCTTTAAAAAAATCATGACTAGGATTATTTCACTGTAGGTTTCTGTAGTGTAGTGGGTATCATGTTTGCCTAACAAGCAAAAGGTCCCTGGTTCAAAAACAGTGGTTCTTTTGGCCCTGTATTGAGGGCAGGAGACTGGACTTGATGACCTCTCAAGATCCCTTCCAGTTCTATGATTCTATGATTCTAGTGTATAAAAGTAGAGAATAAAGAAACCCTTATGATGGAGATGATGATCTGTTACTAGGTTTGTATTTTATTATGGGGGAAAAGGGGCAGGAGGCAGAATAGTTATATAAGCATCAGGAAGTTGAAACTAATTAAAAACAGGGAAAAACTTAAACAACAACAATAGTGTAGTAGCACCTTAAAGACTAACATCTTTAAAACAGAGAGATATGAAAGAGGATGCTCTGTTCTGGCATCATATTTTATTTTATTGGCTTGGGGTTTGCTTTTCATAGTTCATCTTGTGTTTCTATAGTGAAGGACAATTATAAGACCCTAAAAACTAACACAAGTAGAAGTCCTGTACAGGAGTTTATTCTGTGGTGTTTGTTTCACACACAAGCTGTAGAATGAAGTGTAAATATAATAACTTTTTAAATACTACTACTAAACTATCCAGAGAATTATTGACATAGAATAAAAATCGTGGGTCTTCTTTTGGGAAGATTAAGCAAACTTTAGCTCTTAACTTTGCATTCCGTAAAATAGATCTAATAAAGAGGGGCAGCTGCAAAGTAACTAATTTTGACTCTTGGCACACACAAAAAAAGGGTTCTGATTCCGACTAGTTTCTGTTTATTTCTTGTAGCATACTGGTCTCTTCCAGGTATGGAATATTGTGTGCCATGTTAACAACTTTAGCCTTTTGTTTAATATTTTCAGTATTAGGTGTGACCGGGTTAATTAAATTACATGGTAATAATTCTTCATACTTGGATGGGCAGTGCAAATAAACTACAACTGTACTATAAACTACTGTCCATTCAGTGCATATTTTACTGTAGAAAAATAATCTTTCAACACTGCATTTTTTAAATGCTTAATTTTACCATTGTATTGTGACTGAGTGAAAATTTCAGTTTCAACCAGGAAAACTGAAAGCTTATGTAAACACTATTCACATTTTGGCAAGTGTTAGCTGTATGGAAAATCATTATGCAAGAGAAATTAGCTATTATCTTTGGAACATAAAACACGTCTTTCTCTTGTCAGAGGACTGGTCAAATGATCATAGCTGGAATTTAAATGAATCTTCTTTTAATTCAATCTCATAGTAATTCCCAAATGGATAAGAAAAAGAGTCCTTTTGTACATATGGAAGTGGAGAGATTAAATACATTTTGAAATAATTCAGTTTAATAAATGACATAAAGCCTGCAGCAATCCAAATGCCTTTTAAAATTAAAACGTTAATTTACGAGAAGCACATTGAACTCTGCAACTATTAAAGTTTTGGTACACATTTCCCCACTCATATGCCTGATTCTACAACTTTTACTAAGATGATTTCCAAGGGCATTACTTGCTTGAGTACAGGGTGTAGAACTGGATTTTATTTCTTATTGCTGCAGAGGCATGTTTTGATGAAACTGTATGTTTGATTCAGTATGACTTGTCTCCTTCCAGCTATCATGTGATTGTTAGTTTATAACAATCTTAAATTCATCATCTCTCTTGCCTGACCACTTTTTTCCATTTATTTTCGGCACTTTCTCTTCTGATTGCAAAGATACAGGTTTCATTGACTACTCATAATTTCTGCAATACATTGGAAACTGAAGGTGACATTTATACATGCTATGTTTTCCCAATGTATCTCCCACTGACATTAAGAGAAGTTACACTCCTCACTGCAATGACAGCAAAATAAAGCCCAAAGTTTCAGTCACTTTTAAATATTTGTATTCATGAAACTAAACATTTTAACATGTTTGTCATCAGGATTTTTTCTCCCCTATGAGATAAATAATACAAGACAAACCTTGAGAAAGGACTAAAGGTTCCTTTGGGTATGCATGTAGAATACCCACTGAAGCCAATGGAAGATGCAACAGAATTTAGCTTGGGAACTTAAGCCAAAGTTTTCAAAGTATCTGAAGTTAAGTACTTACATTTACATTTAGTCTTCTAAATAAAAGTGGACTGATTTTCAGAGATGCTGAATGGAAACTGTGGATTGAAAGCACCACTGGAAATCAGAAATTTTTTATTTAGGAGCCTAAACATGGATTTAAGTATCTAACTTATTAAAATCAAGTTTAGAAAAACAATTTCTCCTTAGAACCTTTACTCGGGTTAGTTCTCCATTCATTTTTTGGATGGTTAATGTCAGTTAAGAAATGGAACCGTGTATAATTTCTACAGGGTTTGGCCTTTATTATTCAAGTGACAGAAGAAAACAAGTCCTGATGACAAAGTGATGACAAATCATGCATCCCCTTAAAAACGATTTGATAAAAACTATTTGATAACAAAAGGGAAACCAGTTAGATAACAGCAATGAGAAATATGCTTTTCTGTTTTGATTTAAAGCTACTACATGCTTTATTTAAATAAGTAGGGAGGGAATCTCAGGCCGAAGCTTCAATCCTATTCCTCATTGGTTAGCATACAGTGGCTGGGGTTGGTTTTTCTGGAGTTGAGTTACAGAACTCTGGAAATAGACATTCATGAAAGGGTTTGTTCTCATAGACTTTTACTCAGTGCAAGTGTTGGCTGAGTAAGGAGTGCAGTATATGACTTAAAGTGCTGATGCAAACATAAGCACAGCAGCCCAAGGATGACTAATATAATGAGTGTGAGTTCTCTATACTCCTCCCAACAAGATCAGCAAACACTCCCCTTGACTTCAAAGAGTAGAATCAGGTGCTATAGAATGATGCTGGGAACCAGAGCAAAATATGGGCATGTTCAGTCATTTGGATGTGAGTAGGTGGAGGAAGGAGGATTCCAAAATTGCATATTATAATTTTGCTTGGCAGTCAGTTAGTGATTAGTGAATGTCTGAATACTGCTTTGAAGATGCAAAATGCTATATAAATGCTAAGGGCCAAATTCTGCTCCCAGCTACTTTAATATAAACCTGAAGTAGCTCAAGTGACCTTAATGGTGTTTTAATAGATTTTTCTCCAGTGCCAGTGGCCCAAGTCTTTCATATTCTGCAACTGAATTGCAAATCTTTGAGACAGACAAAACATAAAAATGTTTAAGATGGTCTTAATTAACAGGACTTTTTGGCATTGCATGCCTGCCTCAGTCTAGCAAATGCGTCCCTCAACTGCCTGCTCACTCTATTATGGACCTTCTTTCAGTGTGAAGCCTCACACAGGCTAATGGTCTGTGAAAGGACAAAAATTGTGATGCTGTGCTGAAGGGTACCAAGGCTCGTTCCCTGAGCCTTCCAGCAAACCTATCAAGTTTGTCTCTTCACTCAACTTTCCATCTGCCCCAAAATTCCAATAGCATACCTCATGTCTTATATCCTTTCAGTGGTGCTGAGGGCTGTGCATGTAACAAATCAACAGCAACATAGATAGTGAAGCACTTAACTATATAGGTTTGGATGTAACAGATATACTTAATATTGATATTTCACCACAGACTTCTCATATAACCTTGGGGAAGTCGCTTAGCCTCTCTGTGCCTCAGGGCCCAATCTGTAAAATAGCACTTCCCTACCTCCCAGTGGAGGATAAATGTACTAAAGACTAAGAAGTGCTTTGAGATCCACTGATAAATAGCACTGTACGTTCCACGAGGCGTACAGATAGTTCGGAATGGCTACCTAGTTCGAACTATCTAGCCCGTGCCGCGGGTAACCGCGTGGCACGGGGTTCGCACTAGCCGGCTTTTAAAAATGGCGGCGCCGGCTTTATGCTAATGAAGCCCGGGAAATTCAAATCCCGGGCTTCATTAGCAAGTTCGGTATGCATACATTACCCCGCTAGTTCGAACTAGCGGGGTAGTGTAGACATACCCTAAGAGAGCATCATTATTTTTGTATTGTATACAGACATCACATTCATCAGCTCATTGTGTACTTGTAACATGGGGACCCTTGACTCAAAAATCAAAAGTCTCCTAAGAGATCCTTTGTTAACCACAAGTAGCGTCAGGGCTTTTTTTAAAAAAAATTCTGTAGCACAGCCACTAAAGGACAGAGGAGGCACTAATTTTCCCTTCACAAACCGCTAAGTGTCACTGTGCGAACTGTTTCTCTTTCCCCACCAATTCTGAGGTGCGCATTCAGAATGTTCCCAACGAGGCGATGTCTAGACTGCAGGCTTCTTTCAGAAGAAACTTTTTTCAGAAGAGATCTTACAAAAAAATTTCTTCTGAAAGAGACCGTCCACACACAAAAACGCATCGAAAAAACAATTTGCTTTTTCGAAAGATAGTGTACATTCAGTGTGGACATTATCTCACATTTAAGCTGTGATTAGTATGGTCGAAGTGGCCACCAGAACACCTGTGCTTTTTCCTCTTTCCTCTTCTTTCAAAAGAACTCCCTCTTCCCCATCCACACAAACCTTTTTCCGAAAGAGCTCTTTCGGAAAAAGGCTTCTTCCTCATAGAAAGAGGTTTACCAATGTTAGAGAAAAATGTCTGTTCTTTCAATTTACTTTCGGAAGAATGCAATTGCAGTGCGGACATAACTCAGGTTTTGTCAGAAAAACAGCCGTTTCTTCGATAAAGCGCTGTAGTGTAGATATACTCCTAGTGATGGCCTCAAAAAAACAAAAGAAAAATCTCCAGTGTAAAACTAGTACTTCTCATTGCTTGCTAATTGTTTTACCTGCAGGTCAGGTGAGACTAAAAAGAAAGATTTTATGACTATTCGTAAACTTAAAAATGAATACCTAGGGGTTCTTTAGTAGCCCAGTTCTCCTATAGTGGTAACATTATATCTTTAACACAATCTTGTGATAATATATTTTGAATAAAGGAATTCTATTGGATAGCTTAGCATATGTCAACATATGGAATACACATTAAAAAGCCGAGTCT